CGGTCCTGATGCCTGTCTAGCTGGGGACAGCCAGCCCAGACGCTCACCTGGCCTGGCCCATGGCTGCCTCTGCGCTACTGCATCCGCACACCATCGTGAAAAACCACTGATCCAAAACAAAAATTGTGGGTGGTCCCTTGAACTCTGGTGGCGGAAGGCAGCGCGTTCTTATCTCATACCGGGAGACCTGCATTTAGCCTGGCCAGGAGGAAAGAAACACTAATTTCTTTTGCTCTGTTAAAGCTTTATTTACTTAGTGCTCTGCGGGATTGGCCAAGGTAAACTAACCTGAATCTGTTCTGCTGGCACATGGATAATGTGGGAAGGCCTGTCACCATGGTGATGAACTGCATTGCTTTCTTGTTCATAAATGGCATCGCGTTCAGGCTGAGGAAGACTGAGGAACCTTCGGATCATGGAGAGATTCTCCCAGAGGGTCCTGTTTTCTGGTGAGGGATCTTCTTTCCAACGTAACAGCTCACAGAGCCACCCCTTGAAGATAACACCAGCAAAACATTAGTTTTTTTCCTCACTTTGTGAGGGGCAAAATACGGGCAAAATGTGTACTTTAGAGGCGCTGAATTCTCTCATGCCCTTCCCCAGTAGGGAAGGGCTTTCCCTGTACAGGCTGGGCTTGAAGCAAACCCCAGTCGAGGGAGAGGCTTTCACGCCACGTCACAGATGCTCACCAACCTCTGGCGTTTTGGAAAGCACCTTCCCCTTGGTCCTGCACCACAGCACTGCTGTTTGTCTGCTTAGAAACAAAGTGGTTGGTGAAGGCAGAACTCCTGACATGCTCCCCTCCGCAGGACAGGGATTTCACTGACACCAGGATATTCTCTCTGATGCCTGTTTTCTTTGATGCAAGGCACCGGCGCCGTGTTTCAGGAGCTGGCAGTTTGTCTGCTGAACAATTTTAAAAATCCTAGTGCTACTACTCAAAACAAGAAAGTACTTAAAATATCTGCCTTGACTGTAGGACTGCCTAAAGTAAATCACAGTGGTAGAGGAGCTCCCTAATGTCCTTTCAAAAGACAGGCATCATTTGACTAGAGGCAGTCAAGTAATATCTTCTTCCTACCTGCTACAAGTCGAGGTGCCTCTGCAGGTGAACTTATTTCAAGTGGCAGATGATTATTGGTTTCAGGATTTTCATCACAGAAGCAGAAAAAAATCCCATTATACATACATTATTAGGGCTTGGGAGTGAGCAAGATATGCTCAAGCTTCTGATATACCCTTTACACCATTTCCACATCACAGGACAGCAAACTGCTTAAGAGCTTACCTACTCTAATTCAGACATGGTTTAGGGATACAGAGTACAAAGTTGGCTACAGAATCCTCTGCAGGAACTGCAGTCATTGCTAATTTGCTTCTAAAAGAGACATACAAGTTCATCTTGAAAATTTTACAACTGTTTAAATGTTGTAAACAATTTAACAACTGTTTAAAAATTAATTGTGGATTTTTTTTTCATAATTGTGCAATGGTAGTATTAAAAGAAGAGTGTAAATGCTATAGCTAGCACTGTGTGCATGAGCAGCAACTTTTTGCGTATTAAAGTTTAGAAGCAAAATATTACATGTATAAAACATGCATACTTCCTTTTTCTTTAGCTTCAAGGATCTGTTTTCAAAACTAGGTCCATGCAATTTTATTTTGTAATGCTGTAGGAAAGATAATGTGACATTTTATTGAATCAACAAATAACATAAACGTACGGAAGCTTTTAGATCCTTTTTACATGTACGAGTAGTTGAAAAATGGTTTATCCAGACTAGTTTACTGCTAGATACAATAGATACACAAATACAATACAGATATGTATTTTCTTGAAGACATTCATATTTTTAGCTAACAGCTAATAAATGCAGTGTGAAAATATTGCTGTGATAAGAAGAAGTGAAAGTAAACAAATAATCTTAATATATTCATATTGTATACGAAAATATCTAGTAAGGTGCATATAAAAATTTGAAGTATATTTTCTTGGATACAGGTGGAAAATTGAACAAATGACACAGGAGAAAAAATGCCCCCGAGAAACAGAAATAATCAAAATGACAAATGTTAGAGAGGTGGTGGTAGCAGAGCTGAGAAAGGAAAAATTTAAATGGGACCAAAATCTGCCAGGTGCTCACTAGGTGCGCTAGGGAGGGCGGGAGAGCGCAGGAGGAGAGTGGTGGCAGCAGACGGGCCCCCCCTCCACCCCGGGGATGAAATGCACCCCAGCCCTTGACCAGGTGCTACAGCTGGATGCTGGATATTGCCCCAGGGTTTAGCAAGCTGACTGGAAACATGGCCAAACGCCTCCACACAGAGCACCGAACGCACAGCCTGTCCCAGCTGGAATCGTACGGCGTGTTTTTAAAACAGCAGCAAGGATCTGCGGATTCTCCCTCGTCATCGTAAGGCACCCTGGGATGTGTTAAGCAGGTTAATGTACGAACTCTATCCCCTCCTAACAAAATCAACATGTTGCTCACGGTTCCCTGCCCACCTTGCTTCCACGGGGATACGTGCTGGATTACGCTCAACAGTGAGTTAAAAGGTTTGCCATTGGAATGCTGATGCAGTTTGTTGGGGAGAAGAGAAGAAGATGAAGAGAAACAAATCCAGATCTTTTAATTTAAATGCACTTTTAAAGTTTTTAATTTAAAAAAAAAACAAACAAAAAAAAAAAGCCCAATCCCCCTGAACAAAACAAAAGAACGCAGCCAGCCCTGAAGCATAAAGATTGTCTTTTGGTTGGTTGGAGTCTGCAGTGCTTCCCATTGAACCTGCTGCTCCTCTTTCTAATGGTGGTGAAGCAGAGCAGGGCTGACTATTGCAGCAGTTTGGTGAAAGTAAAAAAACCAGACAAGTCAACCTGTCCCCTCCCATGACACCTCTCAATAGTACACAAATAGACTGCAAAAGAAATTGCACCACGCTTTTATAAGTTGCACATATTTTGCCTGGAGACCATGTGAATCACAGGGTTTTTTTTGAAAAAAGACAGTGGAGCCTTTTTTCAAATGCTCTGTAGTAAAAGAAATTCCTTAAGCAATCACATCTCATGCTGATTAAATGTATTTCACAATAACGTTGTTAATGAAGAAATTACGTCTCCCTTTACTGTCTTTTCTATTTATTTACCAGATCAGACCTTATTTTTATTAATTACTGATGGCTAACATTATATTTCCAATATTTTTCTATCAACTTTTGAAGTGAAATAATACTTCTAATTCCTTATCTAAAAATTATTTGATGAATTGTAACCTGAAGCATGTCTCTGCTAGCCCTTCAGGGAAGCTGCGATTTTGAGATACTGAGATCAGATGCTTCTGACACGGTACAGAGAACAGACCGCTCCTCAAAATCTTCTACCAAAATATCTCTTTTCCACATTTTTAAAGAAGTAGACATACTCTCATGAAACATATAATGGCTAACATGGAAACAACCAACTAAAATTACAAGGATAGAAACACTTTTTTGTTCCTCATGGTTTATTTCTGAAAGTATTTATGAAAGTTGACCGCCAAATGTTCTCGGAAGAGATAGTGAATGGGTAATACCAGAGGTTGTGGAGGTTTATTTTGTTAAAAGACGAAAAACTTTATACCAACCTGCTTTATTGAGGTTCAAACCAACCAAACAAAACCATAAGTATTGTGTTTAGCTTCAGGTTCAGAATTCTGTATATGACATAAAGCTCACTCATAACAAGTCAGCAAAATAAGAATGTATGAAACATTTTTGTAAATATTAGGAAAAGTAATCCTATAGACTTTCCTAGCGTGAATTTTAAGTTCTGTAAAAATTGTAAATTCTCTTTCCATTTCACCTAAAGAAGTATGAACTGCTGTAGTTAATGCAGTTGAATTTACAAGAGAACATGACAAGGCTGCTTTTTCTCCTCTTATTATAGTCTAGAGTACTTTGTTTGGTTCAAACCATTTATTCTGAAGAAGAGCTTGGGCCACTGGTCATTTTCTTATTGTCTTTACAGTCTCACAAGAAGTGGAAAGGACCACAAAATAATAAGGAAATATTTGTAACTCGGATTAGATCACAACCGGTTGGCACAGCATATATAGTACCTCACTAAAAAAACAGCCTTAAAATAATCGACTTATCTACGCAGCAAGGCAGGACCCCCAAAACTTTGCACTGACATTGGGAACAACCTCGATTTTAAAACTGAGTAAATTTGCCAGGCAACATTACGCTGAATATAAAGAGAGCACAAAGCAAAATATAAACATTAGCCACATGTAAATATGTTTGGAGAACTTTCAGGATGTTACTACTTTTCAAACTGACAAAGTTTAATTTGACACCTTCTGTTCTAAAACCTTTGTTTCTATTCAAAATCACGCCTTTAGCTCCTATCAATCACTGTGCTCTCCCTATTACTTAAAATACTGGCATGGGCTCTGGATAAGCTGAAAATGCCATGCAGATGAATTCTGAGATAATATGTTCAAACCTGTTATATACAACACAAATCCTGTAAAGTTATGTATTGTAAACCTACATTTATTGGGAACTAAAAGTCTTAAATCCATCTGCTACAAAGAAAATACTGTTACGCACTTTCAAGTAACCAAGTACCATCTGCAAAGGTCTTGCTACAGTAAGCAAGAAAATGGTAAAAAAAGAGAAAAGATGAAAAAAAGAAGATGCTAAACCTAAGATATCTAAAATAAATAGGAATCTTCTGTCTGTTTTTCTGGTTTCTGATAGGGATTTAGTAAAGAAACATAAGACATCAGAGGAACAAAACCTGTGAAAGTCAAATTGCCAAACTACTGCAGGAAAAGTGCAAAGAGGATAATGGCCAAACATTAGTCTCTGCAAGACCCATGAGCACGCTTATTTTAAAGAAAGCATCTATGCATTTTATCTATGTATCCAAGAGCTATTTTTATCAATATGACCTGTGCTGTGTTTAAATAAAATCTTCTGCCCTTTCATGTTGAGCTTCTAACATGCTATTCTTGCATTCTGGTATCTTTCTTATTAAAAGGGGGGGAACAAAAAGGATAATTGAAATCTGCACTTAAGGTGTAAATACCAACCCTAACCAGAACAAAGAGGGTAGCATTGCAGTCACGAAAGACATTCTCCAGGCAAATCTTTCCAAATCAGCAACAAACACATCTAATTTGGAAAGAAGGGTTTCAAGGTGGAGCAACTGAACTCTTTTGCTTGGTGAATTTTTTATAGTGTTAATAATTTGCCAAACAATTAATATCGCTTACAGAATAACTATCAAAGACTTCAACGTTTTTCAGATGAGATGCAATTTGAATCTAAGAATGCAAAACATTTTAGAGTATCAATGATATGAACAGTTTTTCTTTGGTATAACACTAAGATTATTTTATATCTTTCTCTGGGGCATATAGTTAATAAAAATACATGGTGGTAAAAGGACTCAGTCTAAATAGGGAGGTATTGGATACAAACATTTTAACAGAAAGTGTGAATTGCATTTC